CTGATCCTATGTTGTTCATTTGGCATTTATTTTTTCTCATATGTGGCCTGTTGACCTCTGACCCTATGTATTTTAGATGCCTCGCCACTGTTTTTTCAGCCTCCCCCCTTGCCGTCTGTTACCAGCAGAGGAGCAGCCGTGCATGACAGCCCGGACACTCGTACTGTATCCTAGCAACGAGGAGACGCCGGGGGCGGATCTACGGCCTCCGGCACATGCGCAGGTCATTGCTATGTCCCGACGGGGAACAGACAGCGCTCTCCACGATACATTAGTGACCATGGCAACCAGGGATGCTGCGGCATCAACAACAGGTAGATCCAATGACAGGGATCCTTACACACATGTAGCCTTTGAAAAAAGAAAAGAGTTCTTGTTTACCTTTTTTTTTTTTTTCACTTAATACTAATAGAATTCTTCTGTGTTGATGTGGGTGTGAAAAGACGAGAAAAGGTAGGAATGAGGAGAAGGAAGCAGGGCAGTAGCTTGTCTTGCTGTGCCTGTGTGTTTGTAAAGACACAAATAAAAACCCTTTAACTTGTATCCCTTACGGCGCTGGCTGCAGTCCCCTGTAAACAGACTCTCAGGTGGCTATTGACTTTTTAAATGTGTAAAGATGACTGTCGGCTTTACACTGGAGACAATTCTAGCGGCTGAGCTACCGCCGTATCGCTTCTACGTGCTGCTAAACTGGTAAACCCCTCGTCCGACACCCCCGGCCTTGCTTCCCGGGCACAGCTGCCACTCCGTTCACTAATCTCCTCCCTGTTGAATGAAGACGGAAGCGACGCTGATTGCATCAGTTGTGGTTTCTCTGCTGTCATTCCCTGACTAGAGAAGCAAGGGTAGAAGATATTCAAGTGCAATCTGTGCTTGAACAATTTCTTTGAAGTGCAAAGGTGACATTAGGGATAAGCAAGAAGTTACCTGGGGGGAGATGGCCTTGAGAACTTTAGGTCCAAAAGCCTAGTCTTGACTGGAAAGGAGATCAATACAATAGTGCCTGATGAATGTAGAAGCACTTGACCAGTTAGCGGCTTTGCAAACCTGCTCAGTGGAAGCATCGGCTCTCTCGGCCCAATTCACAGACATTGACAGTGGAATGGGCTTTAAAGTTAAAAGGGCATTGTATGCCTGGTTTAGCGTAAGCTCCTATTATGATTGATTTGAACGGGAAATAGATGATAAAACAAACAAGGTGTGCCTTGTGTTCTATAAGGCACTGTTGGACCTTTCTATGGGGGGATACCCACGCTTTTTGGCCCAATGGGAGGGGGAACTTGGCAGTATATTAACAGAGGAGCAAAAAAAAAAGATAATGCAATTATGTCATGTTTCCTCGATGTGCTCGAAGGTAGAGGAAAGTAACTACAAGCTACTAGCGAGATGGTATTTAACACCTTCTAGAATGTGGAAATTTGATAAAAAACACTCAAAGGAATGTTGGAGGAATTGCGGTCAAGAGGGTACAATGGAACATATATGGTGGTCCTGTCCAGTCATTCAGGGTTATTGGCGAAAAGTAATTAATTATATATGTGATATAACAAACCAAAAGGTTCCTCTTGAACCATGGACATGTCTGTTCCACTGCACTGACTCCCCAGTGGGGAAATATAGGAGAACTGTTATTCCATTTTTTCTGAATGCGGCAAAGGCGAATATATCCAGATCATGGAGATGCGTATCAGAACCAGATATTCGCACTTGGTTTAAAATTATTGGTCATTATAGCGAAATGGAGGAACTCACAGCTGTGTTAAAAAAACTCAGGCCCCTCTCATAAGGGAATATGGGCTAATTGGAATAAATTTAAAAACTCCCAGAGATATGTGGAAATTATGCTGAGCTAAATCTGCGGAAAACATAAAAAAGCTAAGGTTTTGATTCTAGAGTAAGAAAATAGAAGGGCAGAGCGGCATTGAGTAGCGCATTACTGAAGATATATTTGATTATCACTTTCATTCAGAAATAGAAACAAACTCCTGAGATTCTTCGTAAGAATTTGATTGGTGATTTAAGTAGCCTTTGGCTGAAATGTTGTCTATCAGTATTCAAGCGTGTTTGCTCTGGGGGAGATTACTGGCGTGGACTAATGCATTGCTCACTGCCAAAAGTTATTTGTCATTTGATGACAGGTGGGTCAGACGTGAAGGCCATTTCCCTTGCTTGAAATACTCTCCACAATGGGACCCCGCAAACCCAATTGTTGGCATCTGTTGTGATAGTTACCTGTGCCGCAAAGGCCCAAGGCCGACCTTTGTTCGAGTTGTGAACTGTTGTCCGCCACTGAACAGAGTTTCTAGCAGACCTGGAAAGGTGCCTCTAGGTGCTTTGGGTCCCTCTCCCAGACTCCTAGTACAAGATCTACCTGAAGAGGTCTGGAATGAGCTTGCACCTAAATTGCTCCTGGGATGGTTGCTGTCATGGATCCTAAGAGTGTCATTGCCTCTCTTATGGATACCTGTTCTGAACTTCTTACCAGAACTGGTGGGGAAGAGGTTTTCTGAGTTTTCTCTATTGGGAGAAATGTACGTTTTAGAGTAGAGTCCAGTACATAACCCAGGTGGAGAATGGACTGGCTCAGTTGAAGATATGACTTTTCCCAATTTATAATCCAGCCTAGTTTTTGTAAAAATTCTGTGAATAGGTGTAAATTTTCTGTTACTTTGTGAGGTGAGTGAGCAAACAGCAGGAAGACATCTAAATATGGTATTATGCCTATTTCTTGGTTCCTGACGGAGGCCATTGGTTCTGCCATGATCTTAGTAAACATACTGGGGGCTGGGGACAATACTGGGGACTACCATTCGGGCTGAAGCCAGCCTGAATGGTAGTGCTTTGTATTGAAAGTGATGTACGGAGTTCCCCAGTTTGAAGGCGAATCGTAGCAGGTTCTGATTTCCTGGGTGAATAGGAACATGGAGGTAGGCATCTCTTATATCCAGCGATACCATGAATACATTCGGAGGAAGAATATTCTTTACAAAAACAGCCACAAAAACAGCCGGACGGGAGCCTTCTAGGTGCAGGTGGGCATTTTAAAACGTCCTTTCCCACACGCACGAGCAGGAAAACTGCTGAAATTTCAAAGCAGTTAAAATGCAGCACCGCCTAACTGGGCGGGTAAAAATGCTTGATTAAGAGGGGAGCCTTGCTGTTATTACTATTTACAGCAGGAAGGCTTACTATGCCCTGTCAGGCTCACAGCTGCATACATCACAAGCAGCACCTCTTGATGGGACGGGTAAGAGCATTTGACTCCGGGGAGCCTCTCTGCCATTTCTGCACATGGCAGGGCTGACTTGCAGCACGCTTTGAGGGTCTAATAAAGAATAAACAAACTGCAGGCAATTTTAGAAAATGTAAAAAGTGAGCAACTTTTCTGCAGATTTTGGCCCCAATGGCTTCAATGAAAACACGTTACACAAGCGGTTTCACACATTTATTCATGCATTTGTTTAGAAAGAGCCAGCCTTCTTCTGCAGAATATACTGTGGAAAGAAATGGAGGACAGCACAAGCTGAAAACACATGGCAAAATGCTTGGAAAAACACTTAACAAACGCATGCCAATGTGCGTAAAAACACTAGAAAACGCTTAGAAAAACCTGCCTGAATAAACGCCTGAAACACTGACACTTAGTTGGGAAGGGAGACTAATTGTGGCCAATCAATAATTTTATTATACAGCATGATAAGCATAGCTTGATCCCGCCCACCTGCCTGGGCTGTGCAGAGCTGAGAATAAACAAGAGGGTCAGGTGATCTGGTAGAAAACCAAACAATAAAAGTATTTAGGTGCATCTTTTTATACAGTGCTTGCTAGTTTGATTTGTAAGTAAGTTCCCTATCTAGATTTGTGAAAACACCACTTAGGGTTACAACTGCTTTAAATGCCTTACTAAATACCTATCGAATTATTGTCACAAATGATGCATCACTTTAACCACTTGCCGTCCACCCGTTGTAAAAAAACGGACGGACGGCACTGCTGCATTGGCGGGTTGCCGTCTACAGACGGCATTTTTTTTCTACTCGCACACACCCCCCCGCGCGGCCGCCGACGGTTTTTTGCCCCCCCCCCCTGACCCCTCACCTGCAATCCCGGGATCCGCTGCCCCATCTGCGGCTCGGAGGGCGTCAGGAGGAAGAGGACGGGAGATCAGCTCCTTGCTGATCTCCCTCCGGGCTGTCAGGAGTCAGGAGAAGTTGGCTCGGTGGAGAGATGGAGTGATAACAAACACTCTGTGGGTCCTGGGTTCGTGTTGGCGACGCGTTTCGAAGGCGATACCTTCTTTTTCAAGCCGATGTGTCAGAGTTGATCGAGACCTGTTTGTTATCACTCCATCTCTCCACCGAGCCAACTTCTCCTGACTCTTGGGCTCCGCCCCATCTGCCTCTTCACACCGTCATCGGAAGCCGACAGTCTGAGGACACAGACTCGCCGGACTAATAGGAGGACCCAGCGTTCATCCACATCCGCCTCCACTCCGGATCCTCACCTCGCTTCCAGCAGTCACTTCAGGGGGCCATCACAACACTACAGCATCCACACTACCCTCCAGCACTGCGTCTCTCCCCAGCGCCGGACACCGCGGACGTCCAGCTGGACCACCACGCCAGCAGAGGACCATCCTGCAGCTTCCCACATGAGCCCACATCCGTCGTTGAGAGCCAGCTTTCACTTTCCTCGCGGTGAGTTACTTAATCTCTCCTTTTTGTGCTCACCTTCCTCACCTTACCTTCCTGTGTTCATTTGTGTCGCACCGATGGAAGGGGGTTTAACACCGCGGATGTCAACTGGTTAAAGAGAGAAAAAAAAAAAAAAAGACCAAACTGAAGTAATGTGTCTAAATGATAAAAAGGAATGAATGTATCAATTAAAAAAACTAGAATGTTTTATCTAAGTTTTTATTAACGGAAATTAGTGAAAGACAGCATTACTTATTTACATCCAGCAGATAAAATCACAAAGACAATATTGTTTAGGTGATTTACCTTTGTTAAAAGCAGGCAGCTTTAGGGGGATACTAATAATCCCAACAAGATCTTCTGTAGGCACAAGTGATCGGAGGATGGCGCGTATTCGTATAGCTTCACCTTTACCAGCCTGGATCAACTATGGGCACAACGGGAATCCAGCATTTAACAAAAGTTCACACAGGTGCTTTCATTGCTTACAGTACTTATAATTAAAAATCCATTAAGTAAAGCAGTAATTGCAGCATGAGTTACTGTTAATGCTTTGTCTCTGCATGCTATAAAATGTTAGCTGGTTATGTACTGTACTCTGTTTATATTTATATAAATTAGAATTTCCCAATAAACAAAAATGGGTTTACAGCTCAAAGTAAATTACACTAAACTAATTATAAAAGGTTTACTTAAGGTGTAAAAGAACAATTTAAATATACTAAAGATACAAGTTTTTTCTATGCATTACTGCAAAATGTTTGGCGTTAAACCACTGCATTAATCATTGGTAACATGGTACAATACTGTACTACTTTTAAGAATTACATAATTGTTGCACAGTCATTCATACAGCTGATGTACACATGACACAATTTGTATTTTATCTAACATCTTTGAACATGTAGAAGCTGTAAATTCTCTATACCTGATTAATTATTACCTGTGTAATTATTTCTATGTTTTTATTGTTACTTACATGTGGCTCTGGTGCACAACGCCCCAGCAAGTCTATGAGTGCAGAATAAAAGGACATTATAGCATTTCCCATGTGTACAATCTCTTCTTCTTCATCTTCTTCGACCCTGAATACAAATAAGAATACTGTGTTAATGATGATGTTAGTTATTCCGGTTATTTCCAGTCTGTGGTTGAAATGTTTATCATCTGAATCCAGTTGATGTGATAATATGTAACTACAAGCCCTAGCACAGTGTATCAATCTGTCTACTATGGCAGGACTACACATGTCAACAAGTCTGTTAGGCCCTACCATAGCCCTCTGCTGTTAAAGTATGACAAGCAGTCCCATGGTGCCTACACACAAAGCAACTGTAAATAAATCTAATCCTAAACATCCTGTTTCAGTTTTTCTACCCATGTATGGTCCATTGATGCTTTAAATTTAAACCCTTTCCTGCTGCGGTCCTGGCAGACAGTGGGTATCCATAATGGCAAAAGTCCAAGAATGATAACACCCATAACCAGTCTCCCAAGTGGCACTGGAATGGCATTAAGAAACACAGATCTCAGAGATACGAGTCTCTGAAGGGGCCTAATCCCAAGTTTCTGAGGAATATGCATTTTTACTAAGAAACATAACAAGAAAGGACTATAAAAAATGCAGGAAAACAATGCAAAGAATGTGGAATTATTATTATTATTATTATTTTTGTAGTCTTTCATTGAATAAAAAATCTTCAACCTTAAACATCGAAAAACCTTTAGTATTTCTTCCAGATGCTATTGGATGAATAGTTATGGAACATTTGCCAAAATCCAAAGGTTTCAGAGACACTCTGGTTTATCAAGGCATGTAATAGATCTTGTTATACCATATTGCTACGTTCTGCATATAGATTATTTTACAGTTTCTAGCCACCTTAAGGATGATAAAAATGCCACAATCTGAAGAAATTCTAACCAGAATAGCAATGATACATACTGTATGTTTGAATAAGAAATAATTAAAGACTTTGCACTCACACTTCCCTCTGATAGCCCTGAGAAGGAAGATCCAGAGCTGGGTTCTCAGAGATGTTAATAGCCTCCTGCATAGCTGCCAGCAAACCATTTCCCCCTTCTCCTCTAAGAGAAGGCCCAAAACACTCTGGTCGACGGATTAATAGCTTCACCACCACACTGGCATTTTCTTCAACACTCTCACCTGGAAAACAAGTGAAACAAAGCAGTCAATGGTTACCAGCCTGAATCTCATGGGGTTTGCAGTATCATAACATCAGAAGCACATTTACATACAAGTGTATTTCCCTAAGGATGAAATATTCAGACTTCAGGCGATAATTGGAAAGAGATTGCAGGGAAACTGACTAGATAAATGATCACAGCATGTTTAATTTAAAAGCAATCTATACATCTATATGTTTCCTGATGCTATAAAACACAAGGTTATAGGTTGGACTTGATGGACTAATGTCTTTATTCAACCTCAAATACTATGTAACTATGTAACTATGTAACAAAGGTGTCAGGCAGCCTGTGTTCCTGGCAGCAGCCCTGTCTTAATCAGGTGTGGGCTAAGAAATCCTGACACTGTGTTTAGCAACTAGTCTTACTGGCTGCAGCTTTAGTATAGTGAGCTGTGGCCAAATGAATCTGGTCACATGCCTGCCTCCAGCTCTGGGATTGGCCTTGTCTCAGGTGGTGCCTTATTTAAGCATCACAAGCCCAGGCCTCGATAGTTCTGTCTGCACAAGCCTGTATTCAGCCTCTGAATATCTTGTCCTTGGAATACTCTGTCTGTTGCTGACCTCAGCCTGACCGTGGAATACTCTCTGCCTGCTGCCAATCCTGACCTTTGCCTGTCCCTGGAACATTCTCTGTCTGCTGCCAGTCCTGACCTCAACTTGTCCTTGGAAAACAGTCTTCTCGTGTCCTTCTTCACCAGCCAATACCCCATACCTTCTTTGTACCTGGAGCCTGACTTATTCAGTCAGAAAATATAGTTTAAATTATTTGGGGATCTAAGTACTGGTAGGCAAACTTGCCTTAAGGGAATGGTGGCTAAAATACCCCCACTATTCCACAATTTTCCCAAGAAATTTAGAACAGAATTCTGGACTAAGAAAATAATTGAAAATGAAAGAGGAACCTCTGATTATAACAAATATAGTGTGAATGATAGAATATATGATTTACCGTAAAAAACATTTATTGGAGTACACTAAGTGACACAGGATAAAATAATTCAGGTACATTGGGATTATGTAGTTGCTTTCAGGAGATTGTACACTGCCAAACATTGCTGTAAGACATCTTAGTATAACCCCTTTGGCAACTCAAAAATTCTACTTTCTTATTGGTACATAAAAGGGACACATGATAAAGTAATTCAGACACACTAAGATGTCAAAGAGCAACCATGATGATCAACCATGATACCAGCCATTTGAGGGTTTTACAGTTCGGCTGAGGGCTGAAAAGAAAAATCACACCGGCATCCTTGACAGTTTTTAGAATAGAAACAGTAAAAGGCAAAGTCCACCTAATAAATACACAATTCTTCATAAAAGAAAAAAAATGTGCATTTAATATTTGTTGCTTTGGAACCAGTAAAGCATTACAAACACAATCAGTGGATTATGGTTGCAATGCTCTCGGTTCTCCAGAATAAATGACTATGAGTGTGTTGATGTCTTTTTTTTCCATTGTGAACTACAAGTCCCTCTGCCACAGTGTCTGCTAGGACTGGTAGTTTCTCCATTCCTAGATCCTGTGTTAGTGGAGCCACACACAGCCACAACAAATTAGAAGAACCCCATTAGATTCAGGTAAATGGGGGAGGGGGAATGGAACAACCTGAAAATGGGTGTAACATGAAACATTGTCAAAAAAGTAAAGTTAGCCTTTAAGTTGGTGGGTACAGTTCTGCTTTAAAGAACATGTGAAGCAAAGAGCAGGTGGAAGTCTTGCAAATTTGAGAAACAGATGACTGATGCTGAAAGGCCCAAGAAGCACTAACTGATCTAGTGGTGTGCACTTTCAAAGTGGAACCTTGCTGTTAAGTCTATAGCCTTGAATGATGAGCTGCCAAATCCACCTGGAGATAGTGGAAGGAATAACAAACAAAGAGTCTGACTGTCTAAAGGAAGCTGCATGTATCACATCCAGGCAATGAAGGGAAATCTCCTTCCAATGTTGTGGAGCAGGACATAGAAATAGAACAATGTCCTGGTTAAGGTGAAAGAAAGAAACCATCTTGGTAAGAAAAGGGTCATTTGGTCTCAAGACAACCTTGTCTCTGCGTAGCATGAGAAAGGTTTCTTTACAGGTTAGGGCCACCAATTCAGAAACTCGCCTTGCAGAGAGGATGGCACAGAGGAAGGCAACCTTGCTTTGAGTAAGAGTAGACAGAGGAATATCACCGATCAGTTTAAAGGGTGGCTTCCTAAGAGCCAAAAAATGCAGGTTGAGATCCCTCGGTTTCACCGGAGAAGGTAAAGGGGGAATATTGTGAGCAACACCCTGTATGAAGGCTTTCATCAAGGATTGAGAGACAAGCTGTCTTTGAGAAAGGATCGCTATGGCTGAGATGTGACGTTTGATGGTACTCAAGGCCAAATGTGGATCTAGACCTGACTGGAGAAAAGACAGGATTCGTTCCAGGGAGTACTTTCTAGAATGAAATTTCCTTGCCTTGCATCATCAGCCAAGCTGCTAAAATCAGTGACCGAACATTAATGTGGTGAACTGGTTCAGAGAATTCCTATTGCCGGGCGTGTAGTTTTTCTCTACGTTCAGCCCTGCTTCAGCCCTATTGTCATTCTAATAATAATTAAAAATAAAAATAATAACAATTTTAAAAATAAAAAGGTGATAAAGTAAAAAAATAATAAAACAAATGAATTAAAAATAAAGTAAATGATAATAAGACAGATTAAAATTTTACAAAGTAAAAAAAATAAAGTAAATAAAAATTAAAACCAACCCGTCTGGTCACATCATCTGTATGCATCTGCAATAAACACATGCATAAGGCATTGTGTGTGTGCGCTGAGTGCTGCCCCCATTCCACTGTGTGACATATTGTTAGCTGGGCAGCAGCACTCTCTAACACACACAATGTGCATTCAAGCATAAAATTCAAAGTAATTTGGGAAAATGGAATTAACCACTCAAATCTGGCGCCCTCTCCCTTCCTGCTATACTTACCTTTTGGCGAACAGTCTTTCACGTCCGCCAGTACGGGTGTACTATTTGCACCCCATACTGCCGTCCAGTGCTGCCCTGTGCCATGTATTCTGAATTTCGCTCGCAGACTGCGAGCACTCGTTGGTCAGTGCGGTCACCTGACAGTGCTGACCAATGAGAAGCACTGCTTAGCACTGTTAGGACAAGTAGATTGTCATGAGGGACAAGTAGATCAGGACCCCTCTTTAGTCATTGGACAAGTAGTTTAAAAAAAAATATTTCCACACCCCCGTGATCCTTGTAAAAGAAGATGTGGACAATTTGGAAGGGTCCACAGAAAGTCTGCCAGGAGTCTAATGTGGTCTGAGTACCATGTCTGCGTGAGCCACTTTGCTGCATATGATGATCACCAGCATGCCCTCCATTTTTATGGACGTGGAAGGAGTTTCAGAAACGGATATGAATATATCAGGTTGAACTGATCCCACAGAGTCACCAGAGCATACACTGGAAGCCAGGAATCCCCACCAGTGATAAAGGTCTTAAAACACCTCATTGTGAAGAAATCATATGACAGTCCCAATGCTGATCAGTGAGGAAGTCTGTCTGCCAATTTTACATGTCTGGGATGTTTATAGTGGTCAGGGCTGGGAAGTGAAGTTCTGCCCAAGCCAGAATCTGATTGGCTCCCTTTTGAACTGGTAGACTTGTGTTTCCTCCCTGATGGTTGATAAAAGTCACTGTTGTGATGTTGCCCAACTGTGGTTGGATGACCTTGCAGTTGAAAAGTCCAGCACTGTAAGGATATCCGATAAGCTCTGAGTTACAGAAAATTGATTGGGAGACTAGCTTATTCCAGCGACCAAGTCACTTGCACCGAAAGGGTGTCCGGGACTCCTCCCTGACCCAACAGGCTAGCATCCATCGTGAGAACATTTGCAACCATTGGGAGGGAGGATTTCCCCGGTTACAGAGCTGAACTCACCACCCACCTAGCCAAGCTCGGTTTTGAGGGTCAGGCACATGTGATGGTCCAGAGATTGAGCCTTCTTGTCCCACGCTGACAGAATGTTGAGTTGTAATGGTCTGACATGAAATTGGCATATGGAAATGGTTCAAAAGAAGCAACCATTAAGCGCCGGAACCCTTTGTTAAAGCAGATGGTTAGTTGGCTTCTGAATTGTAGTGTCTGAATATGGGAGCAGAGAGTTTACAGTTTTTCCTATGGAAGAAATAGCCATGGACCAAGAAGTATCCGGGAAAAGCCCAAGATACTTCAAGCGATGTGTTGGTTCCAGCACTGACTTCTTGTAGTTAAGGATCCATCCAGCAGTTTGCTGGACATTGACAGAGTCTGTGCTTACTGTTCCCTCAGTAGTAGGTCGTCCAGGTATCCCACCATGGAAGTGACCCGAGAGTGAGGCAGAGCAAGTACAATGGATAGCACCTTGGTAAAAACACAAGGTGCAGTGGATAAATTAAAGGAAAGGGCAACAAATTGGTAATGTTGAGTGCCCATCGCAAAGCAAAGTGCAGAAAGCTTGGCGATGGGGATATGCAAGTAGGCACCTTTGATTACCACAGAGGCCAGAAAGTCCACCATATAGAGGAAAGCAGTAGATGTCATGCCAAATTTTCGTACCCGAAGGAAGATGTTGAAAATCTTTAGATCCAGAATGGGGCAAATGCCCCTTTTGCTTTCGGAACAGTTAAAAGATTTGAGCAAAGAATCCTAGAACCTTTATTTTTCCAGAAAAGTGGCTATGACCTCTTAAGAAAGCAGCTCCCCAAGTGTGGACATCCACTAGTCTACGTGGGGATGTTGGCAAGTTTGATGTTAATGCAGAGTTCACATTTCTATCTTGTAGCTCTTAGATACCCCATTCTGGACCCAAATGTCTGGAATGTCCTGAGGCCAGATGGCCGCAAAGCTCAAGAGACATCCCCTACTCTGAAAAGAGGGGGTGTCCCCATGGGAGGACTTGCTCATGCATTTGGAGATTTTGGGGGTCCAGG